GCTTCACTGAGTTACGCAAGCCCCTTCGCCACGACAAGGCAGTGATCCATGAAGGGGTATAGTTACTTAATATCCACTAAAGGTATGTAGGAAGTTGAATTTGTAGCATCCCAAGTCAGTACATTTGTATGCTTAGCTCTGTATTGTTTCTTACAGCAAGACTCTTGCTGTCAGTTAGTGAAAATTTTCAGCAGAGATATTTTCCAGTCCTACCAGGAAGAAGAACCAGGGATTGGACCTAGAACATGTTTACGCTCAAAGGATATGCTTTGCCATGAAGCACAGTTCTTCATTAAACAACAAAATCTGTGCCTTTAACAGTGCATGGTATTTTTTTCAAGAAAAAAAATATCAATAAATGCTTTAATTACAGGAAATTCTTTAAAAAGAAAAATGATCCAAAATTATATTTATTTATTTATTTGTGTGTGTGTGTGTACACATATAAAAAACTAGATTCATTCTTCACTTAGCTATAAAGCTCACTGGATGGCTATGGGCCAGTTAGTCTTCTTAACCTAACCTATCTTGTAGGGTTGTTAGGAACATATCCTGCCTTGAACTCCTTGACAAAAGAAGAATCTAAAAAAGTAATAGATAAATGCCATTTAAAATGAGAGGAAAAGTCTTGAAACCTATTGGTGTAAGCACCAAATAAGCTGCCTTGGAGAAAGCAGTTTAGAAGCAGACTGCCATAACCAAGAAGACCCTGTGTTTTGTAATCGCCCATCAAACTTCATTTGGCAGGAGGCCTAGAGGAAGGCCTCCAGATATGACTCCTATATTCAGGAGGAGACATAAAGGCTCAGCACAAAGTTTCTTTGGGGTTTTGAGCAGTGCAGTTCTAAGATTAGCTGAATAGTGGTTGCTTGGGTTCATACAGTGGGATGCATTATCAGAATGTTTCATGACCTTTTACAGTTCCTTCATTACTTTATGAGGAGCCTTTTTGTACAGGTCAGTAGCTTTCAGCACATGTTTACTTACTGTGTTGAATCTGTCAGCAGAGAGATTATGAGCTACTGTGCTTTCACTTTCAGTTCTTCTCTATTTCCATATCTTTAAAACTGCCATTCATTCATATGTATTCCCTTATAATTTAAGTAGCTCATTGTCAGGTATAATTCAGCTGAAGGTATTGAAACTGTAAAGAATGGAGAGAAATGTTGGAATGGAATAAAATACTTTTTTAATATGGTTCATGGTGCCTCTTAAAACTCTGCTGCTAGAAACAGTCATGGTGAAGAATGTAATTGATTTCTTTAATTTTTAAAAAAATCCCATTAGCCAGAAGAGGAAACCTATCACCCTCTGAATTCCGGTTTCCTTCCGTCACCAGTCAATGGCCACATATGAGAAGAACTATACTCTAACAATATCTGGAGGATCACAAATTTTCTATTAGTGAATGAATAGCAACATAAACAGTTGTTCTGAAGGATACTCCAACTTACTGATTCTAACAGAGCATCCTTATGGCTTGGGCATTAGAAGTTATGTGTGAATGCCAGTTGATAATGAAGCTCAAGCTCAGCTACTTTGGTCACCTAATGTGAAGAGAGGACTCCTTGGAAAAGACCCTGATGCTGGGA